AAAATCAGTTATTGGAATAATGCGCCCAAAAAATTAAACTATATAATCACAAAAAATCGATTTTTTTACTAACTCAAACCTGTTTCATTACTATAAGTTAATTGGGCGCATTTTAAATGTTTTGTTAGTACAGAATTTTTTAGCTACAAAAAAATTGTTCCTTAGACATTTCTTTGTTGTTATCATCATAACAATAACAAACACCTTCACATCCTGAACAATCAGAATAGTTAGTGGCAGTATGGTATGTTGCTCCGCCCCTTATTGAGTTAAGAAAACTATTTTTATGTTTGTCTAATGAGGAATTTCGAAATTCCTTTATACTTAAAATTTTAGATTTCATATTTAAATTTTTTTGATTATTTCACACCATTTTTAAAAGTGAGTAACAGTTTAAGCGAAATAATAAATGATATAGATTAATTTTACTTTTAGCAACCATTTCCTGCATATACTGAGGCAACCGTATTATCAGTACAGTCTGATAGCGAACCATTCAAACAACCATTACTGTCGTAACTATCAGCAGTTATACAACTACCATAGCCACCACAGCAAGAATAAACACCTGAAGTACCACCTCTGATAGCAACAGTCTTATAGTCTGAAATTATTTGCTTTTCAAAATCAGTTTTTTTTAACGAATTCAGTTTTTTCATAATTAAACGTATTTAAAACACAACCCACTCTCTTTTCAATCGCCTCCTCTCGGTAGGCAGGGTAAGTAGGCAAAATATCCCTTGTTTTGTTGCAACATTACAAAGGTAGGGGCGGTGACTGCCATTTTTTGTCAGTTTGGAAAAAATTTTCAAAAAAATCAAAAAAACTTTCGCCACCTATAATTTTGCGCTCTTTGCCGTTTTCAATCACGCTGGCTTGAAATTTCAAGATAATTTCTGTGCGATAATAGTAGCTTTTTCGTTGTTTGCAGTAGGCTTAAAAAAATCAAAAAAACTTTCGCCACCTATAATTTTGCGCTCTTTGCCGTTTTCAATCACGCTGGCTTGAAATTTCAAGATAATTTCTGTGCGATAATAGTAGCTTTTTCGTTGTTTGCAGTAGGCTATGGGTATATCTTTTTCGCGTAAATCTTCGATGATGCGACGCACATGGCGTTCTGAAAGTTCCAAACGTTGCGCCAATTCTACTGGCGAGCCTGTGCATTTTAGCCGAATAAGTTGGTCAAGTCGTTCTAATAAATTAAGGGTTTCAAACAATTTCATGGCGTTTGAGTGTTGAAGTTAGTGAATGTTTTTGAAATATTGAAATTAAAATATATGTTTTCGACACAAATTTGCAAACAATTAATTATCAATGGTTTATGAACTCATAACTCATCTCTCATAACTAATTGGATTACTTATCCCAGCCCCTCACCCTATCCACAAAACGTTGCATCAGCCGCTTATCTTTGGTAATAATGGTAGCTGTGCCAGTCATGCGCTGCCGAAATGGGATTGTTTTGTGATAGGTAGTCGTGAGGGTGTCGGGTAGGGTGGCTTCTATGGTATAAAAAACTTGGTTTTGCTTATTTTTTCGCTTTATTTTTCTAAATTTTCTGTCAAGAAAAGCCTATTTTTGCGTAAAATACGGATAAAAATGCCATTACAAGATAAATATATCAATCCATTTACGGATTTTGGCTTTAAACGGCTCTTCGGCTCGGAGCCAAATAAAGACCTATTGATAGATTTTTTGAACCAATTATTGCCCGAAAAGCATCAAATTCAGGATTTGCAATATAAATCGGGCGAGAAAATGGGTAAAAGTCGCTTAGACCGAAAAGCCATTTATGACCTGTATTGCGAAAGTGAAAACGGCGATAAATTTATCGTGGAATTGCAAAAAGCAAAACAAAACTATTTCAAAGATAGAAGCATCTTTTACAGCACCTTCCCGATACAAGACCAAGCCAAACGAGGCGATTGGGATTTTAAATTATCGGCTGTTTATACCATTGGCATACTTGATTTTGTGTTTGAGGAAGATAAATCGGAGCAAAAAGTATTGCATATCGTACAGTTAAAAGACCAAGAATGTCAAGTATTTTATGACAAATTGACATTTATTTATTTAGAAATGCCGAATTTCGAGAAAAAAGAATCGGAATTACAGACGCATTTTGACAAATGGCTCTATGTATTTAAAAACTTGCATCGGTTAGAAAATGCACCTACAAAATTTCAAGAAAAAATATTTTCAAAATTATTTGAACAAGCCGAAATAGCCAACTTAAACAAAAAACAAATGTTGGATTACGAGCAGAGTTTGAAATATTACCGTGATTTGAAAAATGTGACGGATACCGCTTTTATGGATGGAGAACAAATTGGGATAGAAAAAGGTAAAATTGAAGGTAGAATTGAAGGAGAACAAATTGGGTTAGAAAAAGGGAAAGAAATCGGATTAAAAGATGCTATCACAAATCTAATCAAAAACACTACTTTTACAGATGAACAAATCGCAACATTCGTGGGCGTAAATATAGATTTTGTGCAAAAAATACGCGCAGAAATGACGCAATAATCATGTTTTTGATGCTATTTCTTTCAACCCATAATATTCCATAGCTTTTTGCTTCAAAGGGTGTGTGCTCCAGTCTTCCCACTCGCAAGTGTAGGGATTGTAGCCACATTTTAATGGCTTGGGATATACATCTTCTGGGCTTTCGAGGTAGGTGCAGCACCTTTATAGGATAAAGGGCTTAACTTCTAAAAAAACACCATCGAGATGGTCAAAATCAGCATCAGTTGTAAGGAGCGGAATTTGAAGTACCGATGCTGTTGCCGCGATCCAAATATCATTCTTGCCCATATTTCGAGCAGAAAGTCCATAAGGTAATGGTCGTTCTTGAAGTTTTCCTTGACTATAAGCATCTATTTTGGCATATCCACGAACGATATTTTCATCGAAAATATCTATCACAGGAAATAATTTCTCTAAACTTCCAACAATAGATAAACGCTTATCGCCCCAATTACTTTTCAAGGCAATCGCATATATTTCCGCCCAAGAGATAATAGAAATAGCATTGATGGTATCTTGTTTTAGCTGAAATGTTGCTTCTAACTCAAACCAATAATTGTTTTGGCGAATGTAATGAACCAGAATATTCGTGTCCCACAGATATTTTCTCATTCTTTGAGGTAAGCTAATAAGGCCGCTGTATTTTCTTGGATATTGAGTTCTTTTACCAAAGCATCTGCTTTTATCCAATCAGTTTGGCTAAAGTTTTGCTCTTGGAGTAATATTTCAAGATTACTATGTTTCCGTATGGGGCGAAATAAAATTTTGGCTTGCTCTACTGATAATGGCAATTCATCCATAAAGACAAGCAGACGCACTAATTGGTCTATATTAGTCGTGGTTTGCACCCTTTTAATGAGGTGATTTTGCAGATAAGTTAATGTATCTATTTCCATAATAGCATAAAATTTAGCAACAAAAATACATTTTTTCGCTTATCTTTCCAACACTTTTTGTATTTCTTTCAACCCATAATATTCAATCGCTTTTTGCTTCAAAGGGTGCGTGCTCCAGTTCTCCCACTCGCAAGTGTAGGGATTGTAGCCACATTTTAAGGGTTTGGAATACCTATCTTCGGGGTTTTCGAGATAAGCGCGGCAATCACCACTATGACATCAAGCTTTCTATTCCCTCTATAATGTGCTCATAACTTTTATCATTTTCTTGAAATAGCTTACCTAATTTTAAGATATTTTCTTTAAATATGGGATTATTAAGGATAGCATCAATTTTTGAGTTAATTTCTCGAATCGTAATTTTATTAATATCTCCCCTCAATCCAATTTTATGATACACCACACGTGCAGCGTTACCATTTTGATCCCAAATATTATTTAAAGGGAAAACCAACATCGGTACACCTAATATAATACATTCCATAACCGTATTTAGTCCACCATGTGTAATAACTAAATTACTTTTTTTAATAGCATCTAGTTGAGGTACTTGTGAAAATAAATGTACATTGGATGAAACTATACCTAATTCATATATACCTACTTGCCCACAAGATATAATTAGTTCCCAATCTTTTTTTAAACTAAAAATTTGAATCATTTTTTGTAAAAATGCTGCTACTTGTTTATTATGTACTAAGCTAATGGTACCTAATGAGCAATACGCAATTTTTTTATCTTTAATTTGTGTTATGATATTTTCGTAATGAGTATTTTTTATTTCTTTTCGTTCTAAATCTACCATAACTCCAAGATGACGCTGAAATGGTAATGTTTTTTTTCTTGGAAAATCAAACTCAATGGGTGATAATACCCATTCCGAGATGTTTTTTATACCAACGTGAAAGCACTTATTCCAATTCAATAAATTAAAATTAAAAGAGCGATTTAATTTTTTTAAAATTCGTTTAGTTAAGCCCCAGCTATTTTCTTCTAAGAAATTATAAATATTGCATTGGCAAATTAATTTGTATTTAACCCATTCAAATAGTACAAAAAGACTATTATTAGAATGTATTTTACTATTTAAAGGAGGAATCAATATATCTTGGTAGGTGGAAATCATCGTTTGAAGAAAAATAATTGGTCTCTTATTTTGCAATAAAATATAATTGTAGCTAAAAAAAGCATCTATTAAAATACAGTCAGGTGAGATGTACTCAATAGTATCTTCAAATTTAGATAAATTTTTAATACCTATTTTCAATGTACTATTACTAATTCTATCAAGTGCTTTTTCTTGGAAAAGTTCCTCATAGTGATCAAAATTACTTAACACTCCTTTATTTACAAACAAATCAGGGCTACATATAATATTTTGAAAATCTTGTTCTTCCACTAAATGCTTCATACTCTGGTCAATTAAATATACGAGGTTGTACCCATAATTATATAAATAGCGTGCTATCTTGAATGTAGGAATAATATGCCCTGGAGAGGTGGCTGGAATAATTAAAATTTTCTTCATAGGCTATTTATTTCAGTTTTATGAACAAATTGATTAGTTGTTCCTAACAAAGTGTCAGAAGCATCAGATAAATTGCCATTCTCAAGTATATAAATTTTGTCACTATTTTGAATTGTAGAGATACTCTTTGTCAATATGATAATTCCCATAACAGACGATAGTTGTTTTAATAATTGCATTACAAAATATTGGATTTCATTATCAAGTTTGGCTATTGGCTCATCAAGCAATAAAAGTTGAGGGTTATGCCACAAAGATCTAGCCAAACCAATTAATTGTAACTGTCCTTCAGAAATTTGTATCCCATTTTCACCTATAATAGTCATATAACCATTTGGAAATGCTTCAAAAAAATGGTTGAATCCATAAGTTTCAAGGAATATATTTAATTGCTTTGATGTTGCAGAGGTATCTCCTAAAGTAATATTGTTAAATAATGTTCCATTAAAAAGGCGTATTTGTTGTGGTAAAATACCTGTTAAGTTATGCCAGTATTCAAGTGAAATCTCGTCAAAGTCCAAATTATTTATGCTTATATGTCCTGATTCAGGTTTTAATGTCTTTTCAAATATTTGCCGAATAATGCTTTTCCCAGTACCATTTTTTCCAATAATTGATACAATTTCTCCTTTTTTAACAGAAAATGAAATATCGTTCAACAAAGGATCCTCTCCTACAAAGTGGTAGCTAAGATGTTCTACTTTTAGCTCTTCAAAAATATCACTAATGTTTGTTTTATATTCTTGTGGTACTATATTATAATGATGTTGCATTAATGGAAATTCTTGCATACGATCAAACCTAAGTATAGTTTCTTGTAATTGTATATTTACGTGACCTATGTTATTCAGAGCATTTAGAACCATAAACATTATCTGTGAAATTAATAAGATTAAACCTATGCTAATTCTATGCTCTAAAACTAAAAATGACAAAAACAATATAATAACAGCAGTAAAAATAACATTAACAAAGGTTAGCAAAGTACCAGTTTTTACTAAATCTATTTCTAATAAATAAATTTTTTGTAAATAAAAGGTATAAAATGTTTTTATTTGTTCTATAAATGTTTTTTGAATGTTTTTTCTTTTTATTATCTCTGTTACTTGAATAAAATTAATAAAATTTGATTCATTTGTCCCATTAATATCTGTTACTTCTTTTCGTTTTGCTATTTTTTTATCACAAAAATATAATGTTATTATCACAATAATAAATAGCCAAATAGCGAATAAACAACCTATCAAAATACTATAACTACAAACCAATAACAATCCAATGATTAGAATTAGGGCATCAATAATACTATCACCTATAATTCCTATTATGACTCTCTGAATGAAGTCAATATCATTTACAAAAATAAATGATTTGCTTAGGTTATGAGTTTTAAAAAATGATTGTGGTAAATTGTAAAGGAAATCAATTACGTTAAATTTGAAATTTCGTTTTTGACGGGTTAAAATTATTTGACGACTATATACTACTAATATTTTAAAAAGGAGTAACAAAACTAAAAATATACTATTTTTATAAAACTTTGCAATATCATTTTCTGGTAATACTTTATCAATAAATTGCTGTAAAAAAATAGTCGTGCTTAATCCCAATATCGTAGCTATAATACCCAAAACTACAGATAATACTAATAAATTGCTATCTTCCTTGATAATTTGCCAAAGCCAAAGCCCATATTTATCTTTTTGACTATTTAATGTTACAAATTTGTCAGTAGAAGATACAAGGATTAAATTTTTTGAAACCCATATTTTATCTAACTGTACTTTAGTTAAGTGCTGTATCTCAGGATATAAGGGATCACTAATTATATAACATTGAGCAGTTTCGTCATAACCATAATAAATTACGTAATAGTCTTCTTTATCTTGAGATGCTATATATAAAATACATATATCATCACAATTTCGAAGCCCCTCCAAGTCCGCCTCATAAGCGTCCGCCTTCAAACCTAATGTACGACACGCTTGAATAAGACCAAGCATAGTATGTCCACTAATTCCTCTTAAATATTCTAATGAAGCATCGCTGCCGAAATATTGAAGTATTGACTTTAAGCAAGTTATGCCTGAATCAGATGCCATTTTTTGCTGAATATGCTTATATTTACTTCGCATACTTGAAATATTAATATACTTTGCAGGAAAAACGCATAACAATAGAATCGTATCAATTTTTAAGAATAAGATTTTTGTTAAGTTCTATATAGTATTCTTTTAGAGGCTTTAATCCTATATTTTTTCTACGCTCATCAACTAATGGCAATTCATCGATCAGGAAAGGCTTGACAAGGCGGTCTTTCTGATCAAAGAAAAATTGAGTACCATACACTTGCTTTTGATGTTCTAGTATTCTTTGCTTATCTATAAAGGTAGAGAATATTGTTGCAGATATGTCACCTTTTTGAAAAGAAAGATTTATAGCTTGCTCTATTTTAAGCTCTTTTCTTAAACGTATATCACTATGAATGCATAATATACTAAATCTGAAAATAGTGATAGAATCAAATAAATGTCTATCGGGAAAACCATATTTATATATAATTTCTTTCAATTTTAAACCATTGATACTATCAACTTTTTTAAACGGTAAATTTAGTTCTCTCGCATTTTGATCGCATTCAAAAGCTACTGTAATTTCTTTAGAGGTTTCTTCGGCATTGCTAATGTTTATATTTGAATATTGTGGTAAAAAATTTAATGTTGTCCTTTTGATGAGGATAGCAATAACATATAATAAATTATAAAAAAAAATCTAATTTTTCCAAACGCCAGTATATGGATCATAATTACATTTTTTAGGTTTTGAAAAAATATTTTTCTTATCACTAATAAATATTCGACAGTCTGAACACATATATCTAAATTCACATACCTTACATTCTTCTACTTGATCTTTTGTGATATTCCATAGTGCTTTAAAATTTTCATCATCAATTAAGGTTTTACAGGTAGTCTTAGAAATTTTGCCATAATGATGTTCACTCGATGGGCAATTTTTAATATAACCTTCTTGATCGATACCCAATTTTTTATTTAAACAAGAGTTTTTATGTAGGCTTTCTGTAAAATTTTTAATATTAACAGAAAAATAGTCAGGCAATATGCATCCACAATCTAAAATATTTGGCAAAGGGTTTATATTGAAAAGGATTTCACAACCATAAATATATTGTTTATTGGGTTTATTGCTATCAAAAGCAGTAATTGAATAAACACGTAGATGCTCTGTAGCTATTAAACTGACTTCTTGTACTTTTAAATATTTTAAAGAAACTATTAGTTCTACATTTGTAATTAAAGAGTCCTGTAAAAAATTTAGCACTCTCTCTATATAAGGAAGACTGTGGTTTCCTATAAAACGCAATTGCAAAGTTTGGCAACCTAAGCCTTCTATTATATTAAAAATTTCTTGATAATTATGGTAATTATCACCATTATCATCAATAATACAATTATTAATAAGAGATGTATCTTCAAATGACATATCCATAGCAGGAAACAATATTACTTCATCAATCTCACATAAATGAGCATATTCTTTCTGTAATAGAAATTCTAAATATTCAGTTAAAATACTTCGTTCTCTTTCATTGCTGGCAAAATTATCGTACAATGCCTTAATTGAATATTGATCTATTTTTAATAAAATATCATAGAGACTGTGAGGTATAAAATCAAAAGCATTTCTTTGTAAATCACAAATTAACGACCTAGAATAACCTTTTACTGGTATGCAATTTGCAAATAATTTTATAGTTTTGTTATCATTGATATTTAGCATTATTTATTCAATAGTTTTATATTGGAAATTTAGATATCGGCCTAAAAAATGGACGAACTACATATTTTGATGTATTTAAACATTTTACGGAAACGAAACGTAATATAGAAATATTTGGAGTTTCACTGTTAGGTGTCATCGTTATAGCTTGCAGGTTTAATGGAATTTTATTTAAATTATTTTTTAAAATATTTTTTACGTCTTTCTTTTTCATTTTTCAGACCTTTTAGTGAGGAAATCAACTATTTTGTAATTTAAGTAGTAGTTACATGGATAGGAAACCATTTCATATTGCCCAACAGGATTAATTTCCAAAAATATATATTCTTTATTACAGCTATATATCATATCTATTGAACCTGTATTTAAGTTTAATTCTTGAACTAATATTAGTAAATTTTCTTTAATAATTTCAGGCAACTTAAAAGGGACATTCCTATTTGGCTCTTTAAAATTATACTGCCTAAAATCTATTTTTGTTTTTTTATCTCTTTGAGAAAAAATAGCCATCGGATAAAAATCATTTCCAATGAAAAATATCCTTAATTCAAATAATTTCGGGATATGTTCTTGAAATAATGTTGGGAAAAAGTATTCTGGAATTTGAGTTAGAATCCTTTTATTGAATGGAATGGTATAATTAAATATAGTAAATTTTTTTGTTTCCAATAAAAATGCTTCATTAATAGCTTTTGAAACCACTTTTGAATGTTTTTGGAGGAACATTTGTAATGTTTTTTTTTGTGTCGTTACTATTGTATCGGGTATCAACAAATTACATCTTTTAGCTTTTTCTAATATATATAACTTATTTGGATTTGATAGAAGATAATTGCCTAATACTATAGGGATTTTAGCTATCTCAGAGTAAAGAAACATTTCTAATTTAAAGTATTCCTTATTGTTATGATTATTTAAGGCTTCTAATAGAAATACATTACCATCATCTGCCAACATATATTCTTTAGAAAAAGAAAAACTTCCACGTCTATACCAAAATGAAGCTATAGCCGAAAAATTGACTGCAATAGAATCATTTGTATGGGAAAAAGAAACCTCACCTGATTCAAAAACTAAATCTTTAAATAAAAGTGAGTCATTGGCATTTATTCTAGTAAATACAAAATTTTTATCCAATAATATCTTACAAACATCAGAAGTTGAACTATCAATAGCTTCTGAAAGAAGAACTATCATAATATGAATTTAAAGTAACGTGTAAATAATAATTTTATGCGTTTTGTTTTTTTATTGTCATATATGTTAGTTCGTTTTAAATATATTTCTATATTTAATCTCATTGAAAAGATAGACATCTTACGAAAAAATAATAACACAAAATTGCATAACTTATTTTTTACACGTTACAAAGTAATAAAAGTTAGCTTTTGACAATTTTAATGGAAAAAACAATAAATAATTGTATTCAATAATTTGATTATCAATGTTTTATATTTTTTTAAAAACTGATAAAATTTTTAGCTTTTTTATTTTCACTAAAATTGACAAAGAATTACATGTGTTATCGACATGGGTTATAAGACACAGTACAACAACTTGTTGCAGTGACACCACCATCCCCACCTGTAGTATCTTGTGCAGTAATGCAATCAGTATTTGTTGTTACATATGTAGTGGCATTCATTGTAGTCGGATTTCCACCTGTAATTCTTTTCAAATCAACATTTTCTAATGGACGAAATTTGGATTCTTTTAATGATTCAAACTTTTTCATATTAAAATTAATTTAAAACACAACCCACTCTCTTTTCAGTCGCCTCCCCTTCACGAGGTAGGCAGGGTAAGTAGGCAAAATATCCCTTGTTTTGTTGCAACCTTACAAAGATATGGGCGGTCACTGCAAAAATTTTGCAGTCAAGAAAATATTTTAAATTTTTTTTGCGAAAACTTCTTGAAGCATTTGATATACATTAATATCGGGCGCGTTGCCACCTTTAATACTATTGAGGTCTTTATCAGGTGGCAAAATGCCAAAGAAAAAACGTACCTCTCGCTCATAACAATAACTTTCTTTGCGGTCACAATAATATATTTTTGCACCTAATAATCGTAAAGTGTCTATTAAATTGTAAGTGGTGCGTTCAGAAATTTCTAAGCGTTGTGCAAGGGCATAAGGCGAGCCTGTAGCCTTTAGTCGAATAAGTTGATCTACTCGTTCTAATTGTTCTAATTTTTGAATGAGATTCATGTTTTTATTTTTAAGTGGTGAATAAATTTTACTTATCCCAGCCTCGTACCCTATCCACAAACCGTTGCATCAGCCGCTTATCTTGGGTGATAATCGCAGCCGTGCCAGTCATACGCTGTCGAAAAGGAATGATTTTGTGATAGGTCGTTTTGAGGGTGTCGGGTAAGGTGGCTTCTATCGTATAAAAAACTTGGTTTTGCTTTTGGTCGGTTTGAGGTAGCACGGCAATATTAGTTACTGTCGTTTCCAACATGCCATATTCTTTGTAAGGAAAAGCGTCTAAACGGATTAAAATGCGGTCGTTAAGTTGTATTTTGCCACTACCTAAAGCTGGGGTTTGGCATTGTGCGATGATGCGCCCGCGCCCTTGCTCGGGTAAAATCGTGCAAATAGGCGTGTTTGCTTGTACGTATTTTTCAGCAAAAATATCGGGCAAAATGCTGACCATGCCACTCATCGGGGCAATAATGAGGTGTTGTTTTTTCCATTTTTCGAGGGCGGATTTCAAGTTTTCGCGGAGTTGCTGCTGTTTTAAGTGTTGTTCGGCAAGTTCGCTGGTGCGGGTGTAGGTCATTTCACGCTGTTGGGCGCGGAGTTGTTGTATTTTTAGGTTATTTTGAGCCACATTGCTCTGCAAGTTGTCGTATTGTCGGTGTGCTTGTAATAGCTTGGCTTCGGCATTGTCGCGGTCGAGGTCGCTCATCGCGCCTTGTTTATAAAGGGCGGTGGTTCGCTTAAATTCTTTTTCCGTGAGTTTTAGTTCTTTTTCGTAGGTGCTTATTTGTCGCAAAAATGTAATACTGATTTTATCTAATGCTGCTATTTCTTGTTGTAAAGAATTGTTTTTGAGTTGTATGTCGGCTTTTTGGACTAAATATTGCGTTTCTGTGAGGCTTTGGGCAAGTGGTGAATAGACTTCGTAAAGCTCGCCAAGTTCTTCGACCCTTCGGGTTTCTAAAACCCGAAGAGTCGAAGAACTATTTAGCCATTCTTCCAATTGTTGTACTGTTTCCACCGTTATCTGGCTATGTAAAACCGCTAAAATTTGACCGATTTGTACTTTTTCTTGGTTTTTTACTAAGATTTTGGACAGTACGCCATTGGAAAGGGCAGGCACTTCTATGGGTGGTTGTTCGCTGGTTATGGTCGCTAATGCTTCTATTTTATCGGGATAGCGGATAAACCACGTAAATGCTATCACGACCATCATCACTAAAAAAATAATGCTGATGCCAGAGTGCAATAGCCAGTGCGGTGGGCGGTCGAGAAAGTGGTGGTATGGCGTGGCGATTTGGGTGTTTGTTTGGAGGCTTTGGGCTTGATTTTGAGCAGTGTGTGGCATTTGTTTTAGTTATGAGTTATGAATTATGAGTTATGAGTTAGAATATTTGCATTAAGTGCCGAGTTCTAATTGATTTTTGATTAATTCATAATATTGTCCTTTGGCTTCGATGAGGCTTCGGTGCGTACCAATTTCGGCGATTTTACCTTCGTGTAGCACGACTATTTGGTCGGCATTTTTGACCGTACTAAGGCGATGTGCCACGACAATGACCGTTTTACCTTGAAAGAATTGCTGCATATTATCTAAAATAGTGCGCTCGTTGTGGGCATCTAAGGCATTGGTGGCTTCATCAAAAAAGATAAATTCTGGATTTTTATACACGGCTCTCGCAATCAATAAGCGTTGGCGTTGCCCTTGACTTACACCGTTGCCCCGTGCGCCAATCATCGTTTGGAAGCCAAGCGGTAAGGTTTCTATAAAATCTTGAATATTAGCAGTTTCGGCGGCTTGTAGTAATTGGTCATAATGGATTTGCTGGATGCTTTCACAAATATTGTTGGCAATGGTATCCGAAAAAATATAGCCATCTTGCATGACTGCCCCGCATTTTTCGCGCCAAATTTTGGGTTGAATGGCATTTAAAGGTTGTTTTCCGATGCGAATACGTCCTTTTGTTGGGCTATAAAAACCTAAAAGCAATTTGACTAAGGTTGTTTTTCCGCTGCCACTTCTACCCACAATAGCGGTCACACGCCCACGTGGAATAGTTAGAGATAAGTCAGAAAGGACATCATCTGAGATAGGATTATAGCGAAAAGAAACGTTTTCTATTTCAATATCTTGCTCATTTACAAAGGTTTGTTGCGTATCTTCGTGCGCATCTTCGGTTTCCATCACTTGGATTTCGTTGAGGCGGTCGAGGCTGATTTTAGCATCTTGGGCGGTGCGAAGAAAACCAACCAATTGTTGTAAAGGTGCATTGAGTTGACCGATAATATATTGCACAGCCAGCATCATACCCAGACTCATTTTGCCTTCAATTACGGCTTGCGCCGTCCACACCGTAATCAACATATCTTTTACTTGATTGATAAACATTGCGCCAGTTTCTTGGTATTGGGAAATGGATAGAGACTGTTGACGCACCCGAAAAAGTCGCGCTTGAATATCCGACCAGCCCCAACGCCGTTTTAATTGGCTATTTTGGAGTTTTATTTCTGACATCCCTTGAATGATGTCCAACAAAGTATTTTGATTGCTCGAACTCCATTGAAAGGCTTGATAATCTATTTCCTTGCGTTTTTTGAAGAAAAAAGTAACCCAAAGTACGTAAAAAATGGCACTTACGCCATAAATAGCGAAAATAGGCAAACTATAAGACACCAATACAAAGCTAAAAATAATGAGATTAAACACCGCAAAAACAAAGGATAGCAGCGAATTAGTTAAAAAACTTTCGATACGCTGATGGTCTCCGATGCGCTGGATAAGGTCGCCCGTATGTTTGGAATCGAAAAAAGCAAGCGGCAAGCGCATCAAACGACTCAAAAAGTCGCCAATTAAATGTACATCAATGCGAATACTAATGTGCATCAATATCCAATTTTGCAAAAAACGGACGAGAATTTGGCTGATAATCAATACAAACTCGCCCAATAGCACCATATAAATAAATGGAATATTGCGTGTATCAATGCCTATATCAACGATAGATTGGGTCAAAAAAGGAAAAATGAGTTGAAAAACAGAACCTAACAATAAACCTAATGCTAATTGAACCAACAATCGCTGATGCGGTAAAATATAATGCAACAAATATTTAAAGCTGCGATTGGTCACATCTTTATCTTCTTGATAAAATGCACCGCTCGGCTCAAGCAATAGGGCAATGCCCTGCATATTGTTATCACCCAGCCAAGATTGTTTAAATTGAGTGTGTGAAAGTTTTAGTTTGCTCGCACCCGGGTCAGCTATCCAAACCCATTTGGAAGAAATTTTATAAATAACCAGAAAATGGCGTTGATTCCAATGCACAATGGCGGGTAATGGAGCTTGCTCTAAGCCTAATTGTTCGCCGTCAGTTTCAAACGGAATTTGGACGGGCATGGTGCTAAAACCAATCTGCTCCGCAGCATGAATAATGCCTTTTAGACTTACGCCTTCGCGGTCAATGTAGCACTTTTCACGCAAAAACTGCAGCGAAAAAGTTTTACCATAATATTTAGCAATCATCTGAAGGCAAGTCGGACCACAGTCCATTGCGTCCAATTGGCGGAAAAATGGAAAATTTAGAAAGGTCATAAATGCTTGTGTACTTTCGGCATTAAAATAGCGTGGGCGTTCCAATGCCCTGCTATTAAGGTACGACCAAGCACCTACCTACAAAAGCAAAGGAACGCCCACGCCACTTGCATTGCTTCGTAAAAGCATACAAACACCATGAGCGTTTCGCTTCACTTTCCCTGTAGGTAAAAAAATTGGTCGTTTTATAGATAAACGGATTAAAAAAAAAATTATATCTTAAATTTTAATTTTGACACGATTTTTGCTTGTATATAGCAAAATATTTTTAAGATGTATGTAAATTTGAACAAAGCATATCGCCGTAATTT